CATATTTAAATCATTTTTTGTAACGAATTTTGTAGAACAATTTTGTCAATTTTAAAAAGTTTTTCAGCATTTTACTGTGACTGTGGTTTTGCTGCCTTAGTAATTTTGTTATAATATATATTTTAAACAATAATTTCATCATTATGATTGTAATTTACTCAATTTACACATTTAAGTACAACTCTCTCTCTCTCTCTCTCTCTCTCCTTTGTTGCTTACTTGTCAGTTGTCCAGTTTATAATTTAGTTTTAGACTATAACTGGAAAGGCCTTGACTTGGGCCTCAAAGTTGCATTCAGGCCCAACAAACTAAATCTAAACCTTCTACTAAATCCTGCACAAGGCAGAAGTTTTTAATATTTTTTCATGATAATTAGCCATTGCCATTTTTATTTATTAGTTTTAAACAGGCGATTGACACAAATTCATGCAATTAAGTTAAAAAATTGGTCTGAATTGACCCGAGTTAATTTGGTCAAGTCAGGTCCAACAGCTTTGAACATAAATAATATAGTTTAATGTCATTAATTCTCTTAAGTCACACCAAAATATGACTGCTAATCATTTAATTGAGACCGTCCATTTAATATCATGCTGTGTGCACTCGCCTCTCATCGTTACTCTGTATGCAGGCCTCACGGTGCAAAATGCCACTGTAATGGAAGCAAAGTGTTGTGTTAATTGATAAATCTGAGGTCCTGAGTAGGAAGGAGTGTGGCAGGGAGAATGTTTTACGGCTGTGCAAATGAAGGGGCTGCAGAGTTTTACACATGCCATAAAATGGTTATGGAGAATTAGCGTTCTTTCTCTCTTACTGCAGTTACCTAGACACTAATGCAGCAGAGCTGGATAGATGGAAGGACATGATAACATATGAAATATGTACACAGACACACACATAAAAGTTGGACACATACGGGTTCACACATTTGCTGCCCCTGCCCATACTTCCATTGTCTCTACTTGCAGCCTATTTAAGTTAAGGTATTAACTGCTAATGAATACAGTTCCCATTAAATCGATCCCTCATACCTCAGTCTTATGCATCATTGTGAACATTATGGCTGAGGCTATTAAGAGTGAGCCGGTGTGTGTGTGTGTGTAAAAATGTAGACACACTTTTCCTGTCCATGTTGCCTGAAGCTTTGTACCACAACACAATAATGACAAGCCACACCAGAGTAGCTGGGAGGAGACGATGGTATGAGAGGGGGTGTGCGTTTGAGTGTGTGTTGTGGCGAGAGGCGGTAACAAGGACAATCCTGGGGCAACATTATATATATGCAGTGGTCTGTGTATATGCATGTATTCATGTGCATGCTTTGTTTATGTCTATGCACATGTGTGGAGGATCCTGTGCAAACGTGTGGTTGGGTGTGTGTCGGGGTCTGACGGTTCTGCTTCAGATGCTTGCTTTTGAAAGTGGTGACGGGTGCCAGTCTAATGCGAGGGGAAGGAAAGGCTCGGAGCACAGACAGACACAGACGTGACCACTCACAGTAGTGTACTTGATTAGCACGTAGCCCCCTAATTAGCAATCCTATGTGGTTACAGGCAGTTCTGCTGGTGACATAGTTGATAACACAACCACAAAATAGACAGAGAGGGCTTTCCCACATTCACATTTGAGTTAGTCATTGTTATTGCAGAAGCTAAAAACCTCTGAGTTCTCTCTTCTAGAATTACGTTTTCTGCTTTAATTGACAGTGGCCTTAATATTCAATTGTACATATCAGTTAACTGTACTATTAAACTCATTACTGATCTATGAAGCAAATATTTGCCATGAAAACTGGGAAACCAAGGCAAGGCTGTGTACACAGTGTTTGGCAATGATGTATTTAAAAAGAGTAGAGTTGAGTCAAGTTCAGCCAGTACCATGCAGTGGATAAAAATATGAGCTGAAGAAAGGGCAACCATTACACAGCCGCCCAATGGGCTAAGGCCGTTGGGTTTCTGGATAGGTGGGGATTGGTTATGTGACTATGTGTGGATGTGTGTGTGTCCTGACAGGCTGGGCCACGTTTGCATTGATAGCCTCTCGTACTGTGACACAGATGGCTAAGGTAAATAAAGGCCCAGGACTCATGGGCTGTTTTTAGGGCTTGGTTAGGATTGGGGGTTCTGTGTACATACTGCCAAGAGCTGTGATGGTCAAGCCAGAGAGCTATGGACTGAAACTAGAAAAAACTGGGGTATGTTAATGATGAGGCTACGGGCTGTGTAGAACACTGAAGCGCAGCTTTAGGTGATGATTACAAGCAGGCCTAGGTAATGTGGCAGAGACTGGGTGAGAGGGCTGTGGCTGGGCTTGAAAATAATTAGGAGCATGGCTGGATAACACAGCTAGATAATGTAGCTGGGGGAGGCTGGCTGGGCACGGTATGAAGATGATGAGTACCAGGGTTGAGCTGTCCACTCCATTGGCCCTCTGAGCTGTGACAAGAAGCTCTACTGGCTGCTGCTGTAGCTGGGGGTGATGCCAACGATAGGACTAATGCACTAATTACCAGAGCGAGAGAAAAGAGAGAGTAAATAGAGAGGGCTACGGAAAGATTGTGCGACAGACAGAAACAAGAGGGGGGGAGCTGAACTCCGATGAGCTCTGAGTGACAGCAGCATGACATGACTGAGCTGAGAGCAGACAAAACTATCTTTATTATCGTCTTCAACAACTTCCTACGCAGCAGCAAAGTTATCCCAGAGAAAACAGAGGTCAGCCAGCACAGCGAGTGAGGGGTGAGGGGGGTGGCCTGTCATTTGCAGATGTTGTTTAGGCAAGTAAGAACATCTGCATGTGCAAAAACATGCCCTATGTTAAAAATTGTGGTTTAGCTGCACATTGGTCCACCATTACCATCATACTGGCCATTATTTTAAACAGGGTTCACCGACGATCGATGGGTTGACTTGTGTATCTTCGACTTGTTTTCTGAAATACTATGTCAATGTCTGCACGCATGTAGTTTGAGATGTGGTCTCCCCCAACAATTAACCAGAAGAAAGATCCCTAGTCTCTGAAACAACCCTTAAGACCATCTCCTGAAAAAGTGGCCCAACAACAGCAGGCATATGCACAGGACCTTTGTTGTCATGATTACAATAACAATGATGGAATTTCATCATCATGGTTAGGGTTAGATTTTTTAGGTTTTAGGTTAGGTTTTACAGAATGATAGCTGAAAGGTCACAGTTCTGTTTGGGCATACACTTAAAGTACTTCCTTAAAGTTTTGCCATTTAAAAGTAACTCTCCAATGTGTATGTCTTTGAGCCCTCTGTGTGTGTGTGTGTGTGTGTGTGGGATTGGGTTAAACTGCATGTATAAAAATGTAAAAAATGAGTGTAAAAATAATTTACCCCTTGTGGAATTAATAAAGGAAACTTAACTTAACTTAAAACTTAACTTAACGTAACAATGAAACTCAAGTATGGGTCATAATAAGCCTCACTATGATTGACAATGACTATTATCCTGTGAGCCAAATTATACCCGCTGCCCTTAATTTGTGGCATCATTGAAAATATTCATGTATCACACATGCTCAAATACCTTACAAGTGTTCCATCAATAGTGTATTAAACAAATACAGCATAGATCCATTGAGCACAACTGATCCAACTCCCCCAACCACTGCTGTCAGCTGCAGGAGATCCCATTCACCCGCCCACTCACTCCCCATACTTATTTATCTCCACTTCCTGGGGCTGTGTTAGTTCATTCTCCTGTCGTCGCTTTCTCCCCCTTCCCATTGCTCCTCTCTCTCTCTCTTGTTTCACTCCTCGTTTCCGGGCAATTGGGTCTGGATGCTAGTGGTGGGTGGTAAGAGGTTGGGGTGGAGCTGCTGGGAACTTGCTGTGTATGTGTGTGTGTGTGTGTGTGTGTGTGTGTGTGTGTGTGTGTGTGTGTGCTGGGAAGTGAGCTAATAAAGGACGGTGATCCATGAAAGGCCTTGAGCAAAGACACAGTCAATTACCTAATGCCTGGACCAGACTGCAGGGCCCACGCACACACATTCTCCCTCTACCATACTGACACACACACACACACACACACACACACACACACACATGCATATACCTCATTTACGTATACATGGAGAGGGGGCAGTGGAGGGCATGAGTGGGAATTGTGTGTATGTGTGTGGCTGGGTGTGCATATGTGTGTGATGGAGAGCGGCGATTTATTAAATTGCTGTCACTTTTGACAAATTTGTTCAACTCAAGTTGAAAGGGTTAGGCTGCACCGCTTCAGTGTTTCCTCTTTTCTTTTAGAAAAGAAGCCTTTCAGACCGAAACCCAGGCAACCCCTGGATAAACCCATGGCTGCTATCAGTCTGCCTCGGGTTGAAAGGTGGTGTATGAGCTGACCTGATGACCAAGCTCCAGACACTGATTTAATGCAATCCTGATGAATTTGATGCAAAAAGATGAAGTCGAGTATCTATATAAAAAACATTTCTAGGATTATTATGAACCTACAGCAGATAATAAACTCCTGTTGCTTCCCTTTCAACCACTAATTCTGCTTTTCTCAGACTTTTGATCATATGGTTAAGGTTGTTCTATTAACAAGAGAGGACAAATTAAGAAAATTCCAATTCTTTTCCAAAAAAGTCGGATTGATTTTCAGTGAAATTACTAATAATGAAGTGATACACAATAGCTCTGATAGACAGACACACAAGCAAAATGTTTGCAACAAATTGTGTTTCCTTCACTGAGTCTTCAGTTAAAACTCTTGACCATATGTGACAGCAGTCAGTTATAGATCTGTATATGTAGGTTTGCCACATCTACATTAGATGTGAAAGAATTTTAATTGTGGGTAATTTTACCATAATGGCAGGAAAGGAAGGATTTATCAGCAATGCATCTCTGCACAGCATGTTTACTAGGTGAGTGTACGGCCTATTATGGTGACTTTAGTTGGAATATCCAATAACTAAATGTGCAATAACAATAATATTAGTAATGTCTGTGTTTGTAGTTTTAAACCTACCTCCTGTTGGAGTCAGTGTGTAGTCTAGGATTTGAAGCTCTTGGTGCAGGCTGGCCGTGTAAAGGAATCATTGCTGTGGTTCAGATGGTAGAACACACTCTGTGTTTCTCTGATTCGAGAATAACAAGAAAGAACAATGAAAAAGTTTGCTCAGGTTAGTTTTTAGTCAATAGGTTGCTCATGAATCTATAAGGCAGAAAATGTAACAAACAAATAAACAACACAAAAGACACGTCGTGGTTGAAACACAGATATGCAATCCCTTTATAAATTGTCAATTTGCTCATTTCATTTTTAGTGTGACAAATGACTGATAAAGGTTGGAGTGGCTAGAAAGCTGGGTGGTCTTTTATACTTTAGTCAGGGAAATAATTGTGAGAGACAGATCAAATGGAGGGTTATTAACGGCTCTTCACACACACACAAAATAGATAAGCCTGTGAGTGGTAATGAGGCTTTAGTCAAGTGTTTTAGTGAAGACACACGCATTCACATGCACAATCCCTAATTAAAACCAAGCCTTGAAATAAATAATGGATAGACTACGGCCCTGTTAAAAAACACAATATGAAGCACTCTTGAAATAATCATCTGGCATACACCCATTAGTTTTGATAATAAGGATTTGTCCATTTGCATGTTAATGTTGTATGAATTTGTCTGTGACTGTGTTGAGTTCATATATTGTTTTCACATGCATGTATATCTTGCTTCATATGTAAAGCAAAGTAAAACCTTTAAAAACACTTTTATTAAAAGTATATGAGTATCTTTTATAGTCACATTTTTGTGCGGGTGTCTTTTGTGTGTGTGTGTGTGTGTGTGTGTGTGTGTGTGTGTGTGTACATCGTTCTCACAGTGAGCCACCCTGGAGTCTTGCGGACTTGTGCTGTCGTAGCTGATTCCGGGCCTCCTCCAGTTGAGTGTAAGACGTCTGTAGACGCAGTGTCAGGTCAGGACAACGCACGCACTGCTCCCACACTTCCCCTGGCTGTTGGAACAGACCCTGTGCAGACCCACAACCCCACCAACACACACAGAGACACACAAGAATCAGATAATGATCCCCGTATCCTTCTGTTTCAGACCCCGCCTCTTTCCTTCTCTGATCCCTCTCCCACAGGTAGTGATGGCTTACTGCTAAAACCAGAGGCCAATCCACTTCATCCCTCCTCCTGTGACACAGAGACCAAGAGAGAAGTAGAGAAACAGAGAGAAAGAGAGGGTGGAGAAACTGATATGTGGAGACGGAGAAAGAGAGTATAACTAAGCATGTCAGAGTAAGTGGGAAGTGGAGGAAAGAGAATGAATATAGAGTGAAAAAGATGGAGAAATAGAAAATAAATACACACTGAGCTGCATATCTATTATCTTGTCTGATTAACCAAAGAAATAAGTTATTTCATATGACTTAATTTTCCCTATTCCGATTGATAATATCCTTTCTTTGCATTTATTTCCTCTGCTCTGGCAACATCACAGCACTGAGCTCATTGAGAGGACACATTTGACATTTCAGTGTGTCTGTAGTTTACTTAGTGCGTCAAAAAAAAAACACGACAAAGGTTAAATGATAAGTAACCCACTATGACAGTATGTTTTTTATGTGTTTTAACAACCTTTGACAACAAAGAGGTGCTGTATGATGTGGGGATAAATTAGACTCTAAAAGATTAAACACGTTGGTTTTGGTATTTTCTTTTGATTTATTAATAATAGAAATACAAAGATAAAGGAACATCATCACAATCTTTAAATCTTTTTTTCAGTGCTTGAATTGGAGATGCATAAAAGGTATGTGTTTAACTTCGACACAGATTTTTGGGAGCAAATCTCAGAAAACGTCAGTTAAACTTGAAACAGCTGTCTGTCATTTTCTTCATTGTACCATCTTCTTGACATTGTGACTCCTTCCCTGGAGTGATGTTTCTGATGCCTCCTGATAGATCAAAGTTACAAAGACACAGAAGGGTTGTTTTTAGCAACAAGATTTTGTGCCAATCCATGCTTGACCTCACTTCCCCCCGCTGCATCCCCTCAAGACTTCGTTGTGACTGTCACACCATTGCGCTAAAGACACAGAACACTTGTGAAAGATGTTACGGTTACTGTCATAAAAAGTAAATGTTAAAGTGATCTCAAAGAAAAAACAAATTGAAATCTTTGAAAGCTTTTATAATTCTTTTCAAATAAGTCAAGGAAAGCTGGGGACGTTGCTACTGACAGAGAAAAAGATGTAGAAATGCAAATCTCCTCCTATTCATTCTTTGGACAAATAGCAGGGGTGCTGTTCTTGCTATCCATTAGTGAGAACAGCTTGTGTGAAATGCCAACAATTCTTCATGCAAAGACATTTTAGATAAAATACCAAACAAATATTGAAACTTTTATTTGTCTGGTGAATATAAGCAACAACCTGCATCCTCTAAACATGCATTACCATGTAACTTGTGTAGGTGTGGTGTATACACTCTTTTTTAAAAAGTTATGCGTTAAACTTTGTGTAGTTTAGATTCATTTAAATGTTGTTGCTTTGTTTGAGGTGACCTTCAGTTGTTGTTGTTAAAAAAGGAGGGAGGATGGGGGGAGTGGTTTGATGGGGGGGTAAAGAGGGAGGGACAGGGACCCTGTCCTTGCTCCTATCGCCACAGGATCAGTGGCCTGGCCTGACCACTTCCACAGCCAGCACCTCAACCTTATCCATCACCACTAGATAGTTATCACAAGAGGGAAGGGTGAGTGGGAGGGGGAGAGAGGGGAGGCGGATAGAAATAAAGAAAGAGAGGACTTCCTGCACGAACCACAGACATAAAACAAAAGAAACACAGGGAGGCAGAGCCAGAGGAAGACATCTGTGTATAAACATAAGTGATGTATTCTTCTCCATGTCAGCACAAGGAGACTTTCCTGACATCATTAATGAACTAGCTCTAACTACAGCCAGCTGTCTGTGTGCGTGTGTGCGTGTGTGTGTGTGTATGCGTGTGTAGTGCAGCTAATAAAATGAGAGAAATCCACGCCTCATTTCTGCTCACTTACTGTATGTTTTACATTGCTAGAAACTAATAATAGGGAAAGCACGTTGCCATAAAGAGCTACAGAGCGTAAATAACACAAACGCTGAAGTGACTCCTCATCAAATCGTTAACATACACACACACAAAATCACATGCCTACATCGACACATGCACCACACATTGCCACAAATGCACAACTGGACTATGGTTAATTGTAATAACATAAATACTGAGCCAACATATACGATGCATCAACACTTATCAAGAAAAAAACTTCAATGAAATGCCCATGTTGCTCTGTCTATCAAAAGTCCAAACTATTACTAATCACGTTTCTCTGATGCATATTATACACTAGATATTTGCTTCCAGTGGACAGTACATACAAAATAAATTCTATATCAACATTAGAAGGGCACTCAGTATAAGTGCTTACTTCGGCCAACAGTCCCCTTATGAAACCACATTTCAATCACCCATAAACATCAGCCCTCTAAGCATGACTGAATTTATCATCAAGATTCATAAATTATTATCTGAGGAATTAACATGTTGAAAAACACCTCATCTCACAATGTTAAAGTGAAAAATAATTCCTGGATCCGCCCCCTGATCGGAATCTGCGCCAAAGACTAATGGGTTGTTTCCTTACCCATCGCTGTCCAACAGCTTTGTGCAAAATCCTGCTAAATATATTATTGGATCAAAGAAAAACAAAACAAAAACATGACCTCCTTGTAGAGGCAATAAACTTTCAGAATTCCACACTAAAGCATATCCAAATCACATGTGCCTATCACAGCACAGAACATACTGGTTGAACAGGTGACATTGTATTGATGAGAGCTGTGTGTGTGCACCGTGGTAAAGCTACAGTTGATAGTGACAGAGCCACACAGTCACACATATAGTGCTCACTGAGATACACTAAACGACTCTGAGCTGTAGCCCCCAAGAGAGCTGTCTGCCATGTTTTAATGATGTCATTCTTCTTTAAAAGGACTTTTAAAGGCTCTGTGCTTTCATCAAGAACCATCCTCCATAAAGAAAGAAGGGGATGTTAGAGAGCTCTAATAATTAGTACATTACTTTGTGAGGGGGAAGAATGAGAAGAGGAGGAGGAATAAAGCATCTGCAAGAGGTTTTACAATCTATGTCATTCCAGTTTCTCATTTATATTATTCTCACCTATCTCCACCTGTTTATGTCTGTTATGGTCCTATAGCTCTGACCCTCTCACCTGCTGTTTCTTGTTGGCAATGGGGGGCAAAACAGGCTTGAGGGAGCCGGTTCTAGTGGTTTTGATCCATGGGGATCCAAGACTCCCATGAAAACGTGGAGCTGTTGAGTCAGGCATGCCCAAGAGACCAGCACTGCCCTTGGGAACAAGTCCGGTGGGGGCCTGGTACTTGACCTGCCTCAGGAGCAGCTCTGTCTCGTGGGGGGCTGGCCTGAATGGAGAGTTGAAGACCCCTGGGCGCTAGAGAGAGAGAGAGAGAGAGAGAGAGAACAAGAGAGGGAGACGTTAACCCTGTATAACACAGAAAGTGTGAGACTAAGTGAGACAGTGTGTCAGTATGAGCAATGTGGTTTGATTAGATGTGTACATGAATGTCTCACTGGCTATGAGATATATGTAAAACACAGTGAGGATGAACCAGAGGTTCTCATGCAGATTCAAACCAAGGACACTGCAGTTGTATAGTCTGGATTTTGTGGCTCCTAGATATCCTCCAGGGTGTTTTACTCCCCAATCACTACAGTGTCTTCAAGTCCATTTGGAGTTTGGGAAAAGCACAAAGTAATTTTGCTTGTCAGGGGAACCATTATAGGGAAAATTATAGAAGAGCCAGCTCGTGGGACAGCTTAAAATGAAACCGACAACAGTTTGTCATTTAAACCATTACGGACAATATTTAAAACATCAGTTATTTCAAACATCAGTTTTGTTAACAACTTTTCATACAGTTTTTCACGTATGGTTTACCTGTTATTGCCCTTTATATTAACTACATTACCCCAAATTTGTGGAAACTAAAAAACATGTGCTCCTTTTGCCAGCAGTTTCTTCACATCCTCTAAAGGACAATTTATTATTTCTGTGTCCTTGTCCATGACATGACAGAAATGTTGTCATTCACCCATGTCAGTAAGGGTCCACAAAGACCCTTATTTAAACATCTGTGTGCAACCAAACATTAGTGACCACATGGACTGTACACATAACAAGTGCATCACCTGTGAATGCCACAAATAACAAAATGTATTCTTGTTTTGACAGTGAAACAGTTCATTCGTTTATTCAACCTCCTCTCTCGTGTGATTCTTGTGAGTATTTGATTCTTGTCATGGTACACGTCCCACAAGTGTCTGGGAGGGGTTTACATTTTTTAAACAATCAACTTTGTGGTGCATTACCACCACTAACTTGAATGGATTGCAGATTGGAAAATGCACATGAGTTTAACACAAAATGGAACTGTGTTTGTGTGACCAGAGCTGTCCACGGAAGCAGGAAATAAAGCTTCAATTGTACCTGTGGAAGCATGGAGAGCTGCGGACACCACAGGTGTGTTGATCCTATTTTAATTCTTTCTGGAGGTGTGCATGTGCAGTTGGTGCACTTGTAGTGTACTGGCTACATGGATCACATCACAGACAAATCGACTTGTGCCCAAACAGTCTCTGATGATAAAAGTTACATCACTGACCCTAATGGAGCTTTACATAGTCCATATGAGTATAACATCAGCCTACTGTATGTCTGAGCCTTAAAGCATACACCTGGGAACTTATCCAACCAAAAGTAAAATACTTGCTTGAGCATTTCAAACTGTACTTAAAATTCTACTGCCGCTGTCTCAAATGTGCCATCGTAAATTACTTCAATCTCCTTTTTCAAAAACACAACCACACACATGTACACAGGTAAAATTAATACTTTTCCTTCCCTGTTCTGAACTGAGGTGGAGATTTGCCACAGACAGACTCATTAATAATTTTTCAAACCACAGTGATTCTTTTGCCTGTAAGTTAATTACCAGACCAAAGCTTTGAGTTGGAGGACTCTCTATCTACTCTATATGCTAATAACACCGCTTGCTATTTAGGCCACTCTTAAAGACTCGGACAACGGAGAGAGCGAGAAGAGAGAAAAGGCTTAAGTGGGAAATTACTCCCACCATATCGACCCAAACCTCACTCTTTTAAAATAACATATTAACAGACTGGTTAATTAGTAAATGTTTCATTATTGGGCAATGAGCACTTTAAATGTCAAGTGAGTTGAAAGATATTAATTCAACTCCACTGACCCTAATTTCTTCACCTATGGGATGTAGACACAACGGGAGGAGCTGATTTCTTACTGATGAATCTCAATCTCATGAAGCTGACAGAAGAGCTAATGCAATATTGTGATTGTGTCATGATGGCAAATCACTTCTTAAAACTGTTGTCAATTCTTACGTCAATCTCATTCTTGTGAATGCAATATTCTACAATGCCATAAGGGAATTTTTTCCAAATTTGGCACAAACATTTATTTGAGCTCAAACATGAACTAATTAGATTTTTGTAGTTGAAGGTCAAAGGTCAAGGTCACTGTGACTGATCCATTGCACTCTTGATCATGATACAGTATATCATACACAGCTAGAAAGAATTTCTCTACATTTAGCAGAAACATCCAGCTGCACTAAACTTTAGTTCATCCTTTGGTGACTATAGGATGAACTAAAGAATTAGTATTTGAAGTCAAAGGTCAAGGTCAAATTAACTTTTTTGACCATAATGCAATAATATTTAATATGATAAAACACACTTACTACATTTTATTAAAATTCTTTAAAGACTTCATTAGAAGTCTGGGCAGACATCAACGTAAACTGTAACTTGATTGGTTGGTAGAGGCATAACAATTCTGGTAAGTGATTATGTGTAGTGACTGAATAACCACAATATTACAAACAAAACACAATTTCTTTACTGCTCACTATCAGTTTATAAAATGCAATAGAGATGAGTGCATAGATCCACTTCAAACAGGAGAGGACAGAAGGATGGGGACATACACACCACACAAACACATACACAAACGTAAATCTCCCCACTCCTGAAGGCGCACACACACACACACACAC